CTCATGGCGGGATTCGCCTCACTACTGGGAGCTGCAAGAATAGGGAGTTCCCAATATGTACGCTCCCCGGAATGAAATCCTTGGAAGATCTATCACCACCACCCAACAAGCCTTCAACCGAAGCAATGTCCCGAGAAGCGCCGTCATCGGCCTGCTCGTTCCTGCCCCTTGCGGAACCTTAGTCCCACCTGGAGTCATTGGAGAGGCGTTCACAGACCTCAACTGCATTGGTGCAACCCTCGGTGGGCTCGGAACTGGAGACCTACCCTGCCTTCTTGGATACAACGACCTACACCCACTAGGAGACCTAGTATGACCACGCTGAACCCAAGAACTCTCCCTCGGTGGAACCGGTGGAGGAGAAGCTGATCTAGGAACGGTGTGGCCATCAGCAGTTGCCCGAAAAGGCGAGACGGCCTGTGCGCTGAATGGGTTGCGTCGAGCTCCCCCGTCAACGGACCCTGAACCAACCCTGGACCCAACAGCAGTCCCTTGCAAAGGTTCATCCCCGGCCCTAACCTCACCCTCTTCGGCGTCCTTAATCTCAAAGTACTTAGGAGACTCAGACTCAACCACTATCTCCCCACGCTCATTGATCCTTCCAGATCTCGCAGCCCCATTCATCATCACGGTAACAAGTTGAACCCCTTTCTCGCCCCTGACCCCATCACGATTATCCCCTAGCTCACTGTTCTTGGGAAGTGGCTGAGGCGGTGGAGGCGCCTTTGCATGATCCGTTGGTTTACTCACCCTACTTGCACTTCCACCTGCATGATGAAAAAATGGGATACCCGCAGTGCTAACACCAGTGGGATTAGGGAACTGACAAACCTGCTCTCCTTGCAGCGCCTTGCTAAGGTGCACGGAAGACGCCTCAGCAGGTTGCTGAATGAGTCCTGTCACCTGGGTCTCCGGTGTTTCCTGAAGGGCTAAGCTTTGCATGGCACGGGTAGCCGCGAGGAGGCGGTCTCCAGGGCCGTCCGAGGGCAGTGAGGCAACGCTTACACTTTCACCAGCTGCGAAGTTAGTCCACGAGGACGTCAGGGTTGGGGCCCATTTATCACAATGAGAACCTCCTATACCCTTTCCAGGCTTAGAACCCAGTTCCCCATATCGGCCAATCCCTCTACCTTCCCCAGCGGTCTTGACAGCAGCTACACTCCTACCTACCTTCTGTACAGCTCCTACCCTACCCCTACCGGATTCACCAGAGCTCACCGAAACATTGTCTGTCAAATCTCGCTTGAGTTGCTCATTTTGCTCCATAAGTTGATACACCAGGGCTTCAAGCATGCCAACCCGATCTGGAGCCGGATGCGCTTGCTCAGGAAAGTCACCAACGTAGCTGTTGGCCAGCACCTGTTGCGTCCCCAAGCCTCCTCGGTCCGACGCCAGTGCGCCCCGCCCAGAACCACGGCCTGTGCGATCATCAATAGCACCTGCAGAGGCAAGCCTTTGTTCCCAGGCATCACTTTGTGCCGCGCGATCCCCGCTGCGACCATTCAGCAATCCCACATCAGCTACACCTCCCATACGAGGCTTGTGAATACTGAACCTTTGAGGCTCTCCTGGGCCCTCTGTACGCGCTCCCAGTCCAACACGACCAGCTTGCTCCGTTCCAGAGAATCTGCTGCCCGTCACGGCACCTCTGTTCCCTCACCATCCGCTTGCCACCCCACTCGGTCGGCAGCTGACATCCCAGGCGGGGGTCCTTGAGAAGCACCACTCTGAACAGGAAGCCTTGATTCCTCCGGCCTTGGCCTGAAGTCCTGATATGGGGATCCATTGCCCCCTTCCGCAGACTCGAAATCATACTCAGGCTCCAATCCCTGAGCTTCCTCTGCCTGCATCAAGAGGTCTACCGCCTCCTGCTCCGGAGTTCGCTCTCTGGTCTGAAGATTCCTCTGTCCCTCCGACGTCTCGTCTTCAGTCCATCGGTCTCCAGTAAAAGGATCATTCCCAGCAGAGAATCCCAAGGTACGTCCACCCTGAGGACCCTCCAAACCACCTTGCAGCTCAGCACCAGAACCATCGGTAGCCATCGCAGAGTTCTACACACAGGGAACACTTGGGCTCATAACCTGCGTGAAGCAGGAAACGAGCACCAAGCGAGCTGACGCCCTTTTTACCACGCACAACAAACGAATCAGTTCGTGAACACCTGAGCTGTACACTAAAGACTCTCAGACTATGTGTTCTACAGAATCGTACAGAAGACTTCAGTCAAACGTAAGACTACACTGGCCGATCTGGGAACCTGGGCTTCGAACATGACCCTACCCCTTCCCTACGACCTCCGGCCCACATGGCCTGCGGATGCAGCGCCTGCACAACACTGGGTCTGCTGCACAGTCAATTCTAATTATGAGACCTATTAATGCTATAACATCTATTAGGGCAGGGGCCATTACTGAGGACTGCAAGACTGGTAGACTGTGCAGGGCCTCACAAGGTCTCTTTGCAGGGAGCCTCTTAAAGACTTAGTTTTACAGTCTAACAAGCCTGCAGTCCACGCATATTATTCTAATTTTGGGACCTATGCTATAAGATCTATAAAATAGGGGCACTCACTGAGGACTGCAAGACTGGTAGACTGTACAGGGCCTCAAAAGGTCTCTTTGCAAGAAGCCTCTTGAAGACTTCACTTTACAGTCCAACAGTCCACCCATATTATTCTAATTACGAGACCTATTAATACTGTAACATCTATTAGGGGCCATTACGGAGGACTGCAAGACTGGTAGACTGTATGGGCTGGCACTCGAACAGTCTCTTGGCTGCCACGCCAAAAGGTCGAATTACTCCCGGCAGCCTTCTGATTGCCTCAAAAGGCCTTTTGCAGACTAACAGTGTTGATTAGTCGTGTGACATTAAATGTTATACTATCATAATTTATATACGCACATGTAATTGGGGCTTCTTTCTTATGGGACGACTACGAGACTGCTAGACTGTAGATGAATCCTACTTCAGAGGGGCAATCAACCCTGAATCAACCCTGAACTGTAGTCAATAGCAGTAGTTTTTCATCGACTGTCACATTCAGTCGTTTCTCACACTTTGCTGTCGCAGTTTTTGGCCTCTGACAGCGCGACAGACTAGCCCAGGCAACAGTCTAGCAGTCTTGCTGCCGCAATGGACAGTGACTGCCCAACAGATTGCCGAGTACTTACCGACTATGAAAGGATCTGCAAGCGAGTGAGGATGGTCAAGGCATGGAAGCGGGACAACCCGGAGTACAGTCGAGCACAGTTCTTGCTCATGCACAAGGACATGCAGTCGATCCCACCGGGAGAGCCACCCGTGACACCACGCTATCTCCAGCCAGGTGTGCCAAAACGGCAGTGGGAGCGAGTGTGGTTCGTCTTCAAGACAAGAGTTCGTGCCTACTCAGAGTGGCTCGATTTGATGAGCTGAATGTTTTACCAATTCGTCGCAAGTTCTGACAGTCCTCAGTCTTGCAGTCCTTTCTCTTATAGTGACGACCAATGTATGGGCCCAAATTTCTGTGAAGGACTGCAAGACCGAGGCACTGTGTGCACCATAAACACATACTATGTGTTTAATGAAGCTGGAAGTGCAAGCTGCATGGAGAAAACGGAGTGGGTCCGAGCCTCAGGATTGGTTTGAATAGGCTAGGGTAGGGCCCAAAACCGGTATCTTACTTACCTTTTGCTGATATCTTAGTTGTCTTGCCGAAGCCTTGAAATTCATGATTTGGGGGGGGGGGGGGGCGTGTATGAACGCCCCTCGCTGTTTATGAACACAGACTTGTTTAGAAGAAGTGAGCATCTTGTAGAAACACTGTGTGTGCGAACAATTCAAGGGTCCAAGCACCATGTAAACCATAGGGATATCTTGACTGAACTTTGACAGCCAGCAAAAATTATAATTTTTGCTGGGTTTATCATACCGCTTCGTATGTGTTGCTCCCCCGGCAGCAATGAGCTTTCTTTTCCAGGCACCAGAGGTCCATATACCGATCACATGGGCTTGCTCAAACTCCCCAAAACCGAACTATAACAATGGCTATATCTCGAAAGTAACTTATCCATGTGTCTTTCTGGCTCCTTATGGCTATTATCGTGATGCGAGCACACAAACGGAGTGCAATTCATTCGCCCTCCGACTCCATGTCGATGAAGTCTCCTTCGGTGCTGGTAGCTCAAAATCCAAATCACGAGGTGAAGGTGCTCCGCTATTCAAGACAACTAGCCAAGTGAGTGGGGCCCGTCCTCGAAGAGACAACGTGCCGAGAAAGTCATCACGTCTCATCTGTAGCCTCATACTAACGGAGTGAGGCTTTCTTGAATCCTGGTTTATAATTGCAAAAAGGAAGTGCTTTCAACGATGAATATCGGAATTCCCAACTACCACATGGTGTTGCAATGGCCGGTTTAGCTTCGGGTTGGTGTTGGAGTTTGCGTAAGTTCGAGGCTTCAACGTCGGAGGCACTAGCCGAGGCAGAAAACACCTTCACGAGCCAGCACTGAGATCCGAACCCACACTCGTTTTGCCGGTGTGATGCGCAAGGCTGTCTACACTCAGGCCCTCCAGGCCCTTCGGCAGCACCGGCCCAAGAGCAAGATTCAGGGAGCACCGCAATACGTCCCGCAAAGCCCTGCGAAGCTGCTAGAATTCGATTGAGGCCTTGTTTAAGTTTACTCTGTGCTGAAGGTGCGGGCCACTGATACTTCGCTGTGCTCCTGCGGCTATCAAAACTAGAAGCCCAGGCTTCCTCAAAAATTCCATCCGAAGGATCGCATGCTCACTTGACGGTGTTTCCTGTGCTTCCTGGTCCTGGGTTTCTACCTGAGATAGGGCGGGCAAGGTTGTCACACAGTATGTGTTTCAGTTCATAGGACTTCGGATTCTAAGGAGGCTTGGGCACAGGACAAAGCAAAACTATGAATACTCATTATCGTATCAAACCATCAACCGTACGAACCTTTCTCGGTGAATTACCCTTATTGACTCATCTGAGAATTGAGTGCCTATAATTAGAAATACTTGAATTGTAATAACTTCTCCCAGGCACCCGTGACGCCATTCAAAACTGCCAACATGATGCTCGCGACGCCCTTCGAAAGACTCTGCCCCAAGATTTGCTGGGCCGTAGCATTGGGGAGCAAAGTCATGTTCAAGGGATGCTCTCGCCATCCAAGGTAGCAAGCAAACTCGTGGGGGCCCAGAAGGAAATCAAGCGACTCATGTCGCATCAAAACTGCGCTGCGCCGGTTGCAGAGCGGAGGCTTCATCATGCATTGGCGCTTGGTCTTTTCGCCCTCGATGAACAAGGGCCTGCGCAGGCCATCCCCAGTCCCTCTCAACTCGGTCAATGCATCCTCAATGAAGCGCCGTTTGCCGGCATTGGCCCCCGGCTCCTGCACGACAGGGGTTAATGTGGACGAGGGACTCTGAGGCTGAGGAGTGTAGACGGAGTTCTCGTAACCGACGTGATCCTTCGATGACTTCTCAAGCAGCTGCTGGAGCTTTTCAGCTCTGTCGGCCTTGCGAACCATGGCAATGAAAGACGTCTTGCCTGCGAAAGCTGACCCCACCAGCTCCCACAACACATCCTTAGTGTTGAAGCTCCAGCTCGTCATCTCGCCATGCGCAATGACGTCCGGGACCATCGGGCCAGCAATGACAACAGCAAAGATCTTGTCCAGCCTTGAAGCCATGTCAATCACCGTTGCCATATCCGTCTCGTTCTGCACGCATGCCGCGATTGCAACCTTACTGCTTTGCAGCTGCGGCAGCTTTGTTGCTTCGCCTTCCTCAGTGCATGCGAGGTTGAAGACCTTGGGAAAGGAATCCCCATAACGAATCCTACCCACCACCAGTGCTTCCTCCTTGCTCTTTGCCAAAACTGTAACGTTCGCAGACGGATCAAGAAGCTGCAGCACGCTGACTGAACTGCCGTACCACAGGATCTCCATGACGCTACGAACAGAAATCGAGGCGCGGGGACTGCCTGACAGTATGATTAACACTTCACAACAATGCCGTTTGATAAATGTCTCCATTACCATCTCTTGTATTTTGTTTAACACTGCCTAGAGCCCTGAATCTTTACGGCTATACTGTACAGCTTCCGGAATCGGAATGGCTCCTGTGCTTCTAAAGCATCGAGAATGGTCCATCAACTGTTGCAGCATCGATCGTCAAGAGCTTCACTGCCAGCAACCACATTTTGCAACTTGAGCCCCCTGCTACAGCGACATGCTGTCACATGAGATGAGGCTGCATGACTTAAGTGGCACAGAACCTCTCGACGAGTCTCAGTCTCTGAGAAACAGCAGGTGCACGTCGGTCACAGCAGCTCAGGGCTCGGGCATCGCCACCGGCACCGCACCTCGGAGAATTGTTTTAGTCCCAGGCTTTATTTGCTTACACCGTTGGACCGAGCTTGCGGTGGCTGGCAGGTGTTGAGTGCACAAACCCTTTAACTCGTGGCTCCTCGGCGATGGCTTCAAAACTTCACTGCTTGAGCAGACTCGACCTCCATTCATTTCAAGAGATCGGACAAAAAACCCATGCGCATCAGCATGGGAAGCAGCACTTTCAGAACAGCGGCCCAGCTCATTCCGTTGCCTGCAGCTTCTTGGAGTTCTGCCTTTGACAAGCATTCGGATGCCAACTTGATCGACTCTTCATCCCATCCCAAGATCCTCAAATGATCCTCCGGATCCACGAAGCGGCCGTGGTCATAGGAGAAGTAGTTCGTGGAGGTCGTGAGAGTACCAATCGTTCCATGGATCCAAACACTGCCTCGCCCCACGGACTGCGACAAATCTGCCAACTTTGGCACGCTCGGGGGCGCTCCCTGTGCCTCAGCAGCTTTGCACATCGAATCGATCAAGATCTCATTGCCGTCCGCTGTCGCAGCAATCCGAGGTGTGGTCTTCAGAACGTCGGGGTAGAGGTCGGAGATGCGCTTGCCGGCGGCCTTCACAGTCTCCTCTGTCACGTCCGTCATGCCACCCTTATCCGAAAGCGTCGCCAAAGCAGTGGACAGGCAGCTGCTGTATTCTGACATCCACTTCAGCGGTCGATTCGCCGCTGCCTGAGCACCATCGCGCGCTGCAGGGTCCCCAAGGCTCAGCAAGGTCTGCACATGATGCTTCGGCTTTCCAGCAGAAAAGCGCTGAAGGCATTCGACGGCTGCTGCCCAGGCCGTTGCATCCAGATCCGTGGTGCGACTTCCCAAGATGAAAACTCTTTCGCGGCGTTCCGGAAGAGGAGCTGCATCTGCCATCACCGCCGTAACAGAATACTCCGGCAGCCGTGTCCCGAGCTTCTCCAGGTAGGAATCCAAAGGGGATTTCTTGGAGTCACTGGCACTGGCTCCTGCCCCGGTCGGCATCCTGCACAGAGCATGGCTCAGACTGCGCTGCGTTTGAAAACTAATTAAAGCTACACTCGCAAGATCATGAAGACATGTTTTGAAGACGAACGCCTCGCTCCGTTCACATTTTCAAGCACGAAGAAGCGGGGCCGCACATGTGCGATGGACAAGACGGCGCCGTCAAACGTGATCGCGGATTCGCATTCTGGCCGGAGTGGACTCGACCCGAATCGAGCGGGATTCAGGATGGAATTGTTCTTACAGGAGAAGCCTGCCGCGAATAAGGCAGGCTCCTCATCCACCGGGAGCCGGCACCGTCTGCCGTGACGTAGGCAGATGACACCGCCGTCGGCCTCACTGCTTGCGCGTATGTCCTGATCAAAAGATGGTTTCTTTCTATCACAGTGTTGATCCCTCATGGCAAACCTGAAATGTAAAGCGATATCTCAAAGTCAATCCCTGTCGTTCGAGTCCTGATAAAGGTGGCCTGGCTGGAACCGCTTCAAGGAAAACACAGCAGGCGCCGATGCTTTCTCCGAGCCGTACAACTGGTGGTTCGGGATCTTCAACGCCGTCAGAACACCGGCAATGGTATTCAAGCCATCGCAACCACTGGCCCAGACGAGCTTCGACTCCCGGACGCCCTGCTGCCCACAGTCCTTGATCTCAGTCGCCATTGACCGTGCCAAAGCAAGGAAGTCGAACTTCTCCATGGTAGTCTCCGGGATCTTAATTTCCTTGGGCGCTCGGGTCTTCTTCTCCTCCTTGGTCGTTTGCTTCGAGGTGGCCTTCGCTTTGGCCTTGCTTTTCGGTTGGCCAGACTTCGCCGTCTTGCCCATGCTGCCCAAAATTAAAAGTTCGAATCTGCTACTTCACGACAGCAGCACAGCAAAGTCTCTACCAATGTGCCCCTCGGAACTCGTACATCTCCACAACTACACGACCCTATGCTACATTGAAATTTCGAACACTGATCCGCAACATTCTCGGAACCGCATTGACCAAACAAAAACTCTTGAGACTGCCGAGGCCAGGCGTATGCACGGGGTACTCTTCGAAAATATGGATCAATCAACGCGTGCTCTGTTCGAAAGGTCGGTGAACACTGCCAGTAAAATCCCAGCGCCCAGGAAACCGATCAGCATGCCAACATGAAGATTGAGGAACGATTTCACTATGATTGCGGAGTGAACTTCTGGTTCTCACTACGTAGTGTATACTTGGCGTGGCAATCTGTCTATACTGTAAGCGGACAATCACCAAACTCTGTGTTCTGGACTGCCCACACGCGATTCCGGCTCAGCCCATGGCCCTCCATTTGGCCGGATAGCCTGAAGCAGGAGGGTCTTAGGCTGAGTTTCTTGCTATAAGCCCAAATAATAATGCAACTTCTGATAGGCTCAAGCTGGCCGACTACTGCACCTGATGCCCAACTTGCACCACGACTGCAACTAACAGTTACACACAGGCAACGCTTGTACCGTTACCCTACTCATTATGACTCAGTGACCCAGACTACCCACGCCTGGAGCTCTGTCTGGCTACTCTCACAGACACGAACCAGCGGTGCCCTGGGTTGAACATGGCACACGCAAGTGCCCAACTAGTGCATGCACACCTCCATCTTGATTCCTAGATTGAACTAACGTGCTGCCCATGCCGAAATGATAATGTGACCAATGTTACTAAATAGCTAACCTTTTTTCACCAACTGTCGTCAGGTTACATCCACTAGCGCGGTCACCTAAGGCAGGACATGCGCAGCAAACACAAGGGCCTAGATGACAAACCACATGCCCACGAAATGGGACAGGCCTGTCACAAACCTTTTCAAATCTACAAACATTCAGAGTAAGTGCGCAACACGGACAAAAAACACAGCCAGCTCGTTCCATCCAGAACCCTCCAGCTGCCCACCGCAAATCACTGAGCTGAGCAGACGCAGCTAACTCTCGGAGCCCGGCCAAAGCTCGACACCTCCAGGCAACGGGCGTGGTGCGACATATCGAATTGCACGATTTCACAGCGTGGAACTCCGACCCAGAGCCCTGCTTCGCTCAACTTATATTCGACACGCAACTCCGTCCTATACCACGAGGGCCAAACGAAAAGTCTATAGGATCTGAGACTCTGGCCCACCTCGGACTCGGACGCCTGCAGATGATAATCGGCCTGGTCGGACGGGCCGAATCGCGACACATTAAATGGCTGCAGCTGCCGCCATGTTGACTGTCTCTCAATCACACTAACACCTGCACTGTCGACCACGAGACCGGCTAAGGCATACGAGTGCATGGGCGAGCAATATTCAGTTTAGACCCAGCATATTCAGATTCAATCGACGGAATCCTTTCAACCCAATGAGCAAGCTCTGTGGCTGTGGCCAACCCCGGTCTCTGGCAGACAATCGACCTGAACCCATGCGTTCAATCGCAAGCACTGCCGCCCTGAACCCTGCTCACCACCTAGCATCTGCAAGTTCGACCAAGAACCCCTGTTCATGCACACACACACACACAAAGCAATGTTCCAGACCTCCTTCATTCTTCCAAAATTATCATGCGGCACATCAAGTTGATGATGTCTCGGACCCTGGCCAACCACGGATGCTGCAAGATAGCTGGCCTGAGCGACTTTCAACATCATTCAATCGCCTACTGGCCTGCCTGCGAAACACATGAAGACTTGCTTGAGTCACGAATCTGCTGCAAGGCACGATCTGATGGCTTCCATGCGAGAACTACAGTATAATGCAGTGCAGCTGGCCCGAGTCGATTGAGGTTGACTTCTCGAAGGAGGATTTGGAGCACAATTGACTCAGCCCAAATTCCTCCATTTCCTAAAACAAAAAATCAGGGCTGACTCAGCCCAATATCCCCAACCGCAAAGTAAAAGCTGACTCAGCCTCCTGAGGCCGACTCGGCCTCAAACCCAAAGCCAAATTTAACTAAGACCCCATACTAAACTAAACGTTGACTCAGCGTCCTACAGTCTAATAAATAAATAAGTATATATATATATATATATATAGATAGTTACTAAAATGCTGACTCAACGTCACACGGCTGTCTCAGCCCACAACTCAAGCCCAAGAACCTGAAAGTAAAGCCACGATGTACTTAAATCCCCAGCGCAACGGTGATAAGACCAGGGGCCCTGGCGCAATCCGGGATGCCAGCGCAACGGCCTGGCAGTCAGGACAATCTCCGTCAACAGCAATCAGTCAACCTTCCGTCTCAAACTAGCAGCGGCAGCGTGTTCCCTGAACCCACACTCGTTCTGCCAACGCCATGCGCAAGGCTTTCCCCTATACGCATGTCACTCGGCCCTCCAGGCCATGGGCAGCGGCCACGCGGGCCCAAACGATTATTGAAGCACGGCATGCCCCGCAACACTGCAAAACCCCAGAGACTTGTTTAAAGGTATAGTAAATCCTAAGTTCCCTGCAGCTGCGGGCCGCCGGTGCTTCGCTGTGCTTGTGCGGTAATCAAAACTCGAAGCCTATGCTCCGTGGGAAAACACCCGCAATGCAGAATCTTTGTACTTTCTACCAGAAAGCTAGAACTCTTCTTCGTTTTCCTTGAAGGAATC